CAGACAGAGCTGTCAGAGCAGTTCCTCTCAGAAGAGCAGCCGCTGGGCGGAGTCACAGAAATGCTCAACTGATCTTCACTCCCCGACCGTTAGTGCCAGTCAAAACCATGTTTTATACCGCTTTGTTTCAACCACTGCCGTCTCACCGTTCCCCCGTGTCCCGCCCTCTCTGTCTGTCTGTGTCTGTTTCAGTTTCGCCAGCAAGACTGCTGGTAGACCAGCATAAATACCAGCTTCACGACGAGTTTAACTACCAGCTTCACCAGCATAGGCCAGCTTAACTACCAGCTAAAACCAGCATAGACCAGCTTAACTACCAGCTAAAACCAGCATAGACCAGCATGACATCCATGCTGGGCTATGCTGGTTTAGCTGACCAGGCTGGTCTTGAACCAGCAAGACCAGCCTAGCCAGCTTGTCCAGCCTGCCCTGGTAAACCAACTAAACCAGCCTAACACCAGCTAAAACCATCAACCATCTTAAGCTGGGAAACCTGCTGCAGAGCCACTATTTCAAGTATACTACGTCATCGAGTGGACTGAAGGACTGTTTAAATGCATGTTAAATGCCCAGCATTCGGTGCCACTCGATGATGTATATGCTTGAAATAGTGGCTCTGCAGCAGGTATACTCAACACTGAGAAACGGCCTTAGATTTGCCGGACTTCAGCATATTTTACCGGTCATAGTCCGGTAATTACCGGTCATAGTCCGGTAATTACCGGCTAACGGAAGCTCTGGCGCACGCGCGCACACACACACTCAAACACACATTCACACAGCAGCAGCCCTCTACTTGCTACAAGCTTAAATATGAAAAGGTTAAGCTACGCACACCACATAACACATCATCTCGGCTCGCGCAGCACGCTCACAGGCATAGATTGCGCAATAATGTAATGCACACCTTGGAGGTGCAGTGCAGGCATATTGACATTGTCATTCAAGAGATGCGTAGTTCTTTTGGAAAATATATTTTTCTTTTAGCCTATTTACCTCGTTAACGTAAATAATACTCATTACATTGACACATGCATTAATTTGTGATTAAAATAATGGTTGTTGGTAATGTATTAGCGACCCCCACAGATATATGATTTCACTGCGTCCATGGCCCATTGTTTTTGTGAATACAATAACAAGCTTTACAGCTATTTTCCCTAATATATTTGAATTAAAAGAAATGTAGTTATTACATTTGATATTCAATAAAATAACTTTCCCATCTGTAACCTATATACAATGTCAGCTTTAGGAAATAACTAAATGCCAAAGTTTTGTTTGGCTCTCTTCTTAACAGGTCTAATAATATAATAATAATATAATTTTGTTTGTAACAGAAATACAAACTTATAGAAAGTCTTCCTTTTAAAAAGCCATTTATTTGTTTGGAAAAAGCACAAGCACATTTTGTAAGATATTGGAAAACACATTCATGCCTGATTTAACAATCCATTATTTTACAATTTACATACCAAAGCAATAATTTTCACAGCAAAGTCTGTTCAATTAGTTCTAAATGAAATAAAATGTCAAGCTTCAAACCTACTTGAAATGCAAAAATTCTATGAAACCAGTCCGACTAATTATTCACAGTTTATGGGATCTTCAGTATTATCATTTTAAGTATAATCATCGGTTTAAACAGCAGAAAAGAGAACAAAATGGAACTTCTTCTGATCTTCATAAATCACTGTTGCATCAGCAGTGACTCACTCTTAGTAGACGGTGTTTTTGAGGGTGATCTTTTGAGCCGCATCAATCTTGAAATCGGAGATACCTGTGGGATCAAAAAGCAGAGTGAAATCAAAGCCACAGATCACAGAATGAAGGGTATGCTCTATTTAAGAGTCACAGTGTAATATGTGATGTTTGTGTTTAGGTGTGTTTACCCTCGCTGAGCGCAGTGCCATCAGAGGAGAGGTGCCAGTATCTGCGGTCGTTCTGTCTCGCCTGCTCTCCGTTCACCATGCTTAAGAAAGGTCCCCACAGACTGGACTCTTTGTCAAACCTGCCAAACAACATCAAATGGTCCTCAATCAAACTCATCATGAATTATTGTAAGCTATAAAAAAAACTGAGAAGCACAATAACACAGTATATGAACTCACGTGAATCCAACATTTTCAATTTTGAGAAGTTCAAGGGCCTCCAACAGAGACCTTCCCTTTGGCACTTCCACAGAGTAAAGAGCAGCTGCTCCGCTGGACATCACCACCTCCACCGTCACTGTCACTTTGGTCTGACTCGGTAAAACCACCACCGGATCTATGGGCTCCAGCACCAGAGTGTCTAATAGGACACACACCATGACACAGCCATTAAGGGAACAGAAACAGATTTAAAGGGGACCTATCATGCAAAATGCCCTTTTTGATGTCTTTAATACATAAATATGTGTCCCCGGTGTGTCGGGGAATTCACACAGAAAATAAAACCCTCTCTCTTTTCCTCCGTACCCAAATCTCTAAAAACGGGGTGATCCAGATTTGCTGCCGATATGACGTAATATCGGAAATGTGGGCTGGCTTTGAACACATTCATAAGCTCCACCCCCACTTTTTTTTTCTTTCAATATATATATATTTTTTAAAGCTTTATACCCAGAATCAGCACTTTAGTAACAGGGCTGAAATAGAGGGATATGAGGCACGGCTAGAATGGGTGATCTGTTTGGTATTTTGAGCGAAACACTTCATAGACATGTTTTTTATATTTTTTTAGATATCTGAGACCTATAATATATGCCTACAAATAGCATGATAGGAGACCTTTAAATCATGATGAACACAGAGGGTAGAAATAATGCTGCTCATACCATCCTCATTGAGACACTCCTTGCTTTTTACTGTCAGGTATGACTTCTGCTGAAGAGCTGGCAGAACCTGAGAAATGGCCATGGCGTTATGGTATCTGTTGTTTCTGGCGTCTGTCCTCATGGCCTCCATCGAGGCAGCACACTCTGAAACGGGGCGCCCCATGGCCAGTAAAGCCTTGGAGACAATGGCAGAAAATAAGTACATTAAGACTGCAACATTTTAGCTGTTTAACGTTTTATGCATGAAATAGAAAAATAAACATTCTTACTTGAACTGCAAGGCCTGTGCTGAACTCATTGCCAATATGACCGTCGTCCCTACGCGAGGCCAAGAGCTTCTGCTGGATCTTGCTGAGAACTGTGTCAAGCTCCATAGCGTTCTGCACATGAGAACCAGCGTCCTTCACACACTGGAGGGCCATTCCAGCCATGGCATAGGTATCTAGAGAAAGAGGAGAAAATATGTGTAATTGACTGAAGAAAAATATTAACTTGAAACGTAAAAAAAAGAAATGAGGGTTGTTACCAACTAGCAGATTCCTCTCACAAATAAACACACATTTTGATGAGAATACCCGATATCTTAATTTTTCGCAGTTCACTTTAATGAATTTGAAGTCTGAAATGTGACTCTATAAGTTATATATAAAAGAACACATGTATTATAAGTCCTACTATTTTACTCCAACAGTTAGCAGCCCTACATCCTATTCCACAGTATCAGCGTTAAGTAGACTGACATAAAGGGATTAATTAATATCATAAGAATTGGGATATTTTTTTAACAGATTATAGAGAAAAATGGCATGTTACACTCACCAGTACTCTCAGTGTCTCCTTGTTTGAATTGCTCATGATCTGCTGCCTTGATGAGTTTGTGGGTGACATGATGGTTGACCCTGATGTCGCTCACGCAAAGAGCGAGCACACCCAGAGAGTACTGGTAATAGTTGGTCAAAGGGCGGTGGCTGACTGTGCAAAGGAGAGGAGGGATACAAATAAAATGTTATATTAAAACATGAAATATATACACTAAATAAACTTTAAACTCTGCTTTACTTACAGGTAATATGCTCTTTTTCTTGTTCCATCTGATTCTTCAGGTGTGTCAGCAGCGTCTCACTCCTTCCACCGACGGTGAAGGTGATTGTGTTGAGGTCATAGCAGGAGGACTTCAAAGCCAGAGTGTACAGCGACAAGAGGCCCACCACCGACTGGCTCTTAGAGAGAGAGCTGAGAAAGACACAGTTACTTAGGTTAAGGTGAGAACATCACAGAAAACATCAGTTCAGTGGACACACAGATTTAGAATGGCAAGCAATTTGTCGTGTCAAACAGTGCAGTACCTTTGAGTGTCATTGTGCAAATCATTTTTCAGTTTATTTAGGTGTTCGCTCTCCTTGGCAAGGTTGTGGAAGTTAGAAAGCCGTAATGCCAAGTGGACACTGGGATTGGGGAGTCCTTCCTGCGTCTCCAGAGAGCGAAGGAGGTTTTTATTGAGTGACATGTTCAGCTCACTATTAGATGTTTGAGTTTCTGGAAGAAAAAATGGTTCTCAGAAATGTTGATCGCAGACATAAAAAATAATTGAGTATCTTGCTGACATCAACATGAACTTTCGGAGCATTGCAAAATCAGAATTACAGCATCAGCGGTCAGAAGAACAGGAAACAACGACTTTGAAAATGTGATATGTTTTAGAAAAAGGTTTCGAATATCCAAATGTCATTGTCCTTGATATCTTACCCACATGACTAAAAATACCAAAAAGGTGCCACAGGTCTATGGAATTTTTCAATTACACAACTTTTGTCAAAGAGTAAGCAACATGAAGGTCATACAGATTGCAACATCAGTGACTGTCAAACTCAGTGAATCAGAGTTTGTTCATCTGGGGTTTCCAGGGTTCAAATGAGTTGATGAAACTGGATTTGTTTACAGAATATAATAATACTTACCACATGGTTTACCAGAGGCAAAAGCCAGTAGTCCTGCGACTATTACTAAAGACAGCATTCTGTGCAACCTGGTGGATAATACAAACAGTGGAAATACATAAATATAAACGCCTCATAGGTTAAGATAACAACACAGATATACTGTAAAATGATCCAGACATTTTTCTTAGCAAAAACAGATTTCAAACCCTAAACATGAAAATAATTGCAATACACACATGGATAAGGTATATATACATCTTTTTAGCGATTTGTTGTAAATATGATAAGATCGTTATTAAAACAGTATCACAGCAGATAAGTCATTAGCTTGTAAGCTTTTACATGCAGTAAACAGTAGTGTCTGACCTCATCAGGAACGACTCCAGTGTGAAGAATAAACGCTGAGTAAAGAACAGAGGCAGAGAAAACAGCTCTAGTATTTCACTCTGTCACATGACCGGTCATTTGAGATGACAACGCGATGATAAAAGCAAGTGGGAAGCTTTTAAACACAGGCTGTGGGCCGGACTATAATCGGGATGTTGAGGTAACTATCTTGTCATCATATATTCTCTTCGGTAACACGAGCATACAAAACAAGAATAGGTGTTTATCTTGCTTTACACAAATCCAGTCAGTATCTGGAAACCTATGCTGGAAACTGACATTTTAACTAATGTTTGCTAAGGTAAGTAGCAACAACTAGTGTTTCAATAAAACACCACTTTGTTAACGTTTCTTGTCTATATTAACACAGACTCTGTTGTAAGCAGTGGTGTACGAAGTATTTATAGGCTTTTTCTGAGTAAAAGTACCAATACATTATTTTCAAAATACTCCATTGCAAGTTAAAGTCCCCCATTCAAAATCTTACTTGAGTAAAAGTACAAAAGTTTTATCAGCAAAATGTAATTAAAGTATAAAAAGTAACAATTGTGCATACAAATTGCCTTTTTGTGTGTATGTAACATATCTGCATTACTGTATGAGACATTTCTAGAAAATGTTGTTGCATCAGCATTTTACTGTTGTAGACAAACAAAGTTCGGAAGTAGTTTTTGTAAAATATTCAAATTATTTGACTCTTTCGTGACTTAGTGTTAGTCCACTAGTTACATTTTTAGAGATGCATTTTGTTAAAAGTAGCTAAAGCTGTTAAATACATGTAGTGGTATACAATTACATTATTTCCCGTTTAAATGTAGAAGGGTATACGTTTAAATTAGCATATAATGGAAATACTAAAGTAAAGTACAAATACCTCAAAGCAGTACTTGAGGAAATCTACTTTTTAGTGACTCCCGACCCAGTCTATGCTCCCAACCTCAGTAAGTCGTTTGTCATCCGTAACTACAATTCCCACAATGCACCTGACGTAACACGCACTTTATGGAGCCTGGGCGACTTCTCACGCTACTCACTTTTTCAGAATAGCAAGCTAACGTCAGATTGACCCAGCCTACCATTCAAGCACTTCACCCCATAAGGACTTTTTGCTATGTGGAAGCTATTTCTGCTTTAACACGTTATCAGTGTAATGTCGGTGAGACCATGTAGAGTCTGTTGTCGCGAGCTAATGGGATTATTCCAAAGGGGAAACTGAAGATAGCAACAACAACAACAACAACAACAAGGCGAAGGGGCAGAGCAGCTGCACAGGTCGGTCTATAATGACTAAAACTAACGTTACATATCTGGTTTAGTTATTCAAAGTTGATTTTCAGCGTAGGGATAAATCTGTCATTGTGTATTACTGTGTCATGGTTTAATTATAGCCATTTTACCCGTAGCGTTACAGGCAACAGTGGCGTTGTAGCTAGCTAGATAACCATGTGCACAGTGTGTTATACCTTGTTGTGCGACGTAGGTAAAAGACAATGTCTTCAACTGTTTAGCTGATTAGTGTCAATATTTTATAGCTATCGACCCTTGTGTATCTTCATGTATCACCCTGTTTCCCCACGCAGTGAGCTGGGGTTTCTGCCAGCCATGTATTCGTTTTCAGGCCCCACAAGCTATCCTGAATTTGACCTCGGATCTCCAAGTACTTCTGGCCACCTACAGAGAGCACCTCTGTCTAACAGGTATGTAACTGCTGCTCTGGCAAGTGTACATTCCCTACTTGCATCTGGCATTACATTTCATTTAGTTGACGCTTTTATCCAAACCGAATTAAATGCAATACACCATACAGTTTCAAACTAAGGTCAATAAGAAAAGTGCTGACATATTCACTTCAAACAAGCAAGAACATTGTTATTGCTGATGTATTGTTAGTGCTGATGAATAAATTAAACTATTGGGTGCCACTTTTTTTCATAAATACAATGGCAACATGGGAAATATGTTTTCAATCTGAACCCGGTATATAGTGTCTTAACACACCTGTCTCTGTCCCAAAGCAGCTGGGAGACGAGATGCCTCAGGAAGCACAGGAGGAGAGTTGATGATGAGTAAGTAAAATATGCAAAACAGTTTCACTTACCATTTCATAAAACCTTGAAAATCAAAATAAGTCAATATCTTGCTTTTATCTCAGAGGATGCAGTGCTAAAAGGAGGAGGTTAATGTTCGAGGCAGAAGTGGACATTTCAGAGAACTCCAACACTAGCACTCATCATGACTGGCCTTCAGCGCCCAGCCGCCCTCCTCTGCCTCCACAGCCCAGCAGTTCTGCCCCCCCACAGCCCTGCCCAGCGCCCCACAGCCCGCAGCCCTCCTCCACGCTGCCCCGACCCGATCCAGAGAGCTCCTGCATGGAGATAGAGGCCGCTCAGAGGAGACTACAGGAGATCGAAGACAGGTATGCAAGAGGCACCAAAAAGCCACCAACTATCTGACTGCTCACCTTTCACCCACACCTTATAAAGAAAAGTCCTACCTCCAATTAGCCCCCACATTTCTTAGACATCCTGTGTTAATAGGACACACTGTGAAATGATTAAGTCCTGTATTGCAATTTAACACACTTATGAATTCAGGTGTAAATGTTCACAGATAATTGTCACCCTGGAAAGGTCACAAATGTGTTACTGATTAGATTATCCACTGAATTGACTTTTATTAGGCTGACATATTCTGCTTTTAAAATAGAACAAAGTTAATATACTCTTATATTGGAGGTGTGTGGCGCAGTGGATAGAGCCTTGGTGTTGGGATCAGGGGGTCACAGGTTCAAACCCCACTGCAGTCAGCATGTCGTTGTGTCCCTGAGACACTTCACCCCAAATTGCTCCTGTGGGGATTGTCCACAGTATTGAGTATGTAAGTGGCTTTGGATAAAAGCGTCTAACAAGAAACATGTAATGTAATTTGTTAATGTGTTTGTTTGGTTTTGTTATAAGTGTAACTTCGCTTCCCTGGTCAGAAACGATATACATGTGTGACCATTCAATATTGTCGTTACTTGTCTTGCCGTTTGGTTTTGTGGAAAACATTTTTATTAAGATATTGTCGGTCCAACTTCTTATGTGTCATGAGCTTGTGTCACCATTCAGAGGTGGTGATAGTATTACAGTATATGTTGTTATCACACGCAAAGGTGACATCATAACAGACTGTAGGCATTAAGCAAATACTGTGATCAGGATAACGCTGGAGGATGACGACGAGGATGACGACCTCGATGTAGAGCCCGCCCCCAGACGACCAGTGCTGGTGATGTCCGACAGTCTGAAGGAGGGTCTGCAGCGCGGCATCAGTGACATCCTGCCGCACACAGTGGCCCAGTCTGTGTACGTATCCTCGTTCTGTTATTAAAACGCTTAATGTCTCATGAAGTTATAGGCTTCGTGTTCCGCTGATGCATAAAAGTACAGAAGTATTATCAGCAAAATGCACGTAAAGTACAAACATGTATTGGGCAGGAAAATGGCCTTTACATGTGTATATCATTATATTTATAAATGTGATATTTCTAGATAGCATTGTTGCATCAAGTAGCATGTTACTGTTGTAGACAAACATAGTTCTGGTTGACTTTTTGTAAAAGACTTTTATATTTTGACTCTTTTGTGACTTAAAGAATTAGTCCACTAGTTTTATATTTAAGAGATAAATTGTGCTCAAAAAAAAAAAAAAAAATTACGTTATTTCCCTTTTTAAATGTAGGAGTTGAAATGATCCTAGAATCTCACCTCCCGCCCCTCCTGTCTCTTTAGGAGCCAGTCCTGCATGGAGCTGGTGTTGTGGCGGCCTCCAGAAGATCCCTTCTGTCGGAAGCGAAAGGTCTCTTTACAGAAACAGCATAAAAAGCAGACGGTGTCTCGGCTCCCCCCGAATCCCTGTCCCTCTCCCACCCCTCACCCCCCCCTGAGCGCCTCCAGCCCGCCTGCAGACACACACTCTGCTCTGTACAGCTTCCCTGTAGCCCTGACCTCTGGAGAGGAGGACATGGAGATGTAATGGTGCTTGATGATCGAGCAGCATGCCAAAGTAAAAGACTTGAAATGAAGTCGACAGAAGATCATGAAGGACTTGGAACCACTTGAAACCGGTCAGTTCGGCTTAACATAAATATTTCACGTTTTGCTTTACAGTCACGCCGTTGAGGTTTTTTGACTATAACCCCAATCAACTATATGAAATATGTAATAATAAGGCTGACCTTACCTAGTTTTATTCATTTAAATCTCTCAAGACATGATGTCAAGATACATTTCTATAGGCAGCCTTACCCGACTGGTTTTATATGACTTACAGAATGAACCTTTGCCCTTACAAGTGACATCCTTTGTACAGCATTTTTGCCAAATCTTGTCCAACAACTCACTGATGTACTGTACATAACTTTGATCTTTGTTCAACTTCAGTGTGCAGCACCTGAGTTTTGTACAGTTTTTCTATGTTTTAGCTTCTGGCATTTACCAGGACATAAGAGTTTGTTTGTGTGTTCATGTTTGCTCAAAGCGTGACTTCCTGTTCGCTGTTGTTGTGGTAGGAGTATTATCCACCCACAGTTGTTAGTAAGTAAAGAAGTCAAGGAAATGCACCTTTAATGAGTTGATTGTATTTTCATACTGTATTTATCCATGACCAGAATTGCAACTAGCCATCGAGTGTTATGACCTTGTTTGTTTTTCAATAAACTCTTACATTTTCCAGAGATGTCCATTTTTGGTTGGATGTATATTGTGTTGATTTCATCATTACATGCAGTATTGGGAAGAGTAGGGTTTCAAGGGTTAACCTCTATGGACCGCAACAAGTAACAATACATCAATTGTATATTTACAGGGTGTCCGCGGGGTCTTAAAGTATTAAAAGTTGATAAATCAATTTAGCGAAAATTAAGGCTATTAAAAGGTATTAAACGGCATTTTCCAAGGTATTACATTTTGTAGCTTGTTTTCAATAAGTATATGAATTGTCCAAAGAGGTTGTATTCTACAGTCTGCCTGAATGGAATCATTGCGTAGGTGTGTAGTGTGATTCTGTGTACTTTATTTATGTCATCTGAACAGGACATCGCACGCTCACTG